TGTATCAGAAGCAAAGGAGTCAAATTGATTTATTTCCTGTCCCCCAAGATGCATATACAGATGAAGATCTGATGCTGTATTGGAAGAATGGGGACGAATCCCTGAAAACAGACGAGAAGATCTCCCTGTCTCAGTTTCTAATTCAGAAATTTCACACCACCTCCAGGCTGGCCTTCTACAGCAGCACTGGTAGCGAACTTCTTTTTTTTGGTGTTTCTTTTTAAAAACGTATTATTATTTTGTTGTTGTTGTTAAGATACTTTTATTGATTTCAGAGAGTAAGGGAATGGAAGAGAGAGATAGAAACATCAATGATGAGAGAATCATTGAATAGTTGCCTCCTGCACACCTGCTACTTGGCATGTGCCCTGACTAGGAATTGAACTGTGACCTCCTGGTTCATAGGTCTACACTCAACTACTGAGCCACACCAGCCAGGCTTATTTTTCAATTACAGTCTACATTCAATATCAGTCTGTATGAGTGTCAGGTGTACAGCACAGTGGTTAGGCAATCAGACACTTCACAAAGTGGTCCAGTAGCTAAGTTTTGCATGGTCTGATTCAAATGTGAAAGAAAACACAGTAGAATTCTTCTTCAGCTTTAACCTTTCCCCTCCTAAAGAAAATAGATTCTTCTTATTTAAAAAATTCATAGTCCCCCTAAACAGATAACACTTAAAAGCAGAGAGTAAAAATGTTGCTGTCTTTGGAAATCCCACAGCCAGAGGTAAGCATTCCTAACAATTTAGCAAACACCCTTGCAGACATCTTGCTTTAATTATGCAATTTCACGAAAGTGGGGTTATATTTTACATGCTGATCTGTAATCTGATTCATTCAACTTGATATGGGCGGATAGCTTTCTGTGGCAATGCTTTTATACCTATATTTAGATCTATAGATTCATTTTTAATGCTTGTGTAACCTTTTCTTGGACCCTGAGCCATGTTTGAAGTTTTGAGAGGATCATGTGTCAGCTCTTTTCTAATCTCACTATTAGTTCTTTTATTAATTTCTTAGGACTGACATAACTAATTACCACAATCTGGGTGCTTGCTGCTTCTGAAGGCTCTAGGGAGGACTCCTTCCTAGTCATTCACTAGCTTCTAGTGGCTGCAGCATCACTCCGGTCTCTACTAGTACCTCCGTGGTCACATGGCATTCTCCCTGGGTCTCTTTGTCTTCACGTGGTGTTGTCTTTGTATCTATGTCCAAATTTCCCTCTTCTCTGAGGACATCAGTCATTGGATCATGGTCCATGCTAATTCAATATGACTCATCTCCCCTTGATTACAGGTGCAAAGACCTTATTTCAAAATCACGTCCCCCTTCACAGGTACTGAGAGCTAGGACTTCAATGTATCTTCCCGGGGACACAATTTAGCCTACGACAGCTCTGCAGTAGCTATGGGACCCTAGAGGACTTGTCTCTTCATTGTCCTTCATCCCACAAATCTATGGGATAGATGCTGAGAAACCCAGGCCCTTCCATGGGAATATTTCTTGCTACTGTCTGCCCCCGCATGGCTACCATCTCCCCGTTCACCTGCCCCCACCCACACTCCTCTGTTCACAGCATCAAGCACTGGGAAAAAGCAAGCCCAGCCAAGGTTGTAATGGTGTTGAGACAGCCCAAGCCTGATTCACTTTATGCCCACAGTGCTCATCCTCATTCCTCTCCTCTCTTTCATTCTGGTATGTATTGCCACACAATTTTCTTTTCTCATCTATTCTTGTCAAGTTCACATCAACTTTCTAAAATCATTAAGAGTTTCTTATATAACTTTTATAATGTACCACTGTTTCGAGTACTTTATATGAATTAACTAATTTCCACCCAACAAACCTATGGTATAGATGTTATTATCCCTTGTTTACAGATGAGAAAGCTGAGACGAGGATGAATTAAGGTTAATTACCACAGCTGGTCAGTGGCCAGGAGAACTGCCTTAGTCACTATGTGTACTCCTCTTAGATGTTTTGTGCATTGGAATAGCATGCTTGCTTGTTTGTTAGTTTTGTCCAGGGTTAGAGCCCTTCTGGAGTCCAGATTATATGCATTTTCTTTATTCTTCCATTGTTTACTGTGTGCCAACAAGAAGGTTTATCATCCCATCCCACAGGGGCTGTGATCTCACCCAAGAGTGCTGTTTGGAACACGGAGTGTACATTTTCAAAGCTTCTGGCTTACTCCTTGTGTCTCCAGGGCAACTCCCTGGTTTTCTTAGAAGAAAAAGATAATGGAAAAGTTCCTCATGGAATAAAAGCAGCTGTCAGCCCTTCCAGAAAGATGCTCTGCAAACCTAGGAAGAAATGTGGTTTGCTTCCTGGATGCCAGTTTAAGCTGTTGAAATTGGACAAAGGCTGTGGGATGAATAAATGATTAGTAGCTTCGTCACATTTGAAGATCACCTTCTATTTCTCCACTGCACTAGGAACTCTTGCCTCATTCAAACAGTCCCCAAACCTACACAATCACATGTCAAACTTGTTGAGACCCACACGACTGTTCCAGTCTTTCCTATTGACCCAACCCTTCCCTTCCCTGACTCAGTGCTAAGTTTCCAATCCGGCCAGATGGCTTTTGTCACCTCAGCAGCATTTCTCAGATGCACCCTGAGGTCTACCTGCATCCAAACCACCAGGGGGGTGTGTGACTATAAAATTCTGGGCACCATTGCAGCTACTAAGTCAGAATCTCAGGTGGTGGAGCCCAGGAATCTGCATATTTAACATGTGATTCTTATGCACATCGAAGTTCAAAGATCATTACTTTTAGCCAAATGTTCTCAAACTATGGTGCTCAGATCAGCAGCTTCAGGATCGCCTGGGAACTGGGGAGCCCAGCAATCTGTTGGAACAAGCCCTCCAGAGATGGTATATACAGATTGCCAGGCCCCATCCCCACAGCTTCTTACCAGCGGATCCTGTGTGGGCCCCAAGAATCAGCATTTCTAACTAGTTCCCAGTGACACTCTTGCTGCTGGCCGAGGAGCACCATTCCCCGCCCTCCCCTACAACCCCTGGAAACCTCTAGTCTATTTCTGTCTCTGAATTTGACTGTTCTAGGTACCTCATAAAAGTGAAATCATGTATTTGTCCTTTTGTACTTGCCTGTTTCACTTACCATAATGGTTTCAAAGTTCATCCATGTTGAAGCATGTGCAAAAATTCCATTCTCTTTTTTTATTTTTTTAATATATTTTATTGATTTTTTACAGAGAGGAAGGGAGAGGGATAGAGAGCTAGAAACATCGATGAGAAAGAAACATCGATTCTGCTGCCTCCTGCACACTCCCCACCGGGGATGTGGTCACAACCAAGGTACATGCCCTTGACCGGAATCGAACCCGGGACCCCTCAGTCCGCAGGCTGACGCTCTATCCACTGAGCCAAACCGGTCAGGGCCATTCTCTTTTTTTAAAGGCTGAATAATAGTCCATTGTGTGGATTATATTTAACCATTCATCCGTTGATGGACATTGAGTTGTTTTTACCTTTTGGCTATTGTGAATAGTGCTGCTATGAACCTGGAAACTTATAGAACATGCCTAGGGCCTCATCCCAGACCAATTAAATCAGACCCTCCCTGGGGTAGAGCAGGGCTTTGGAGAGTAGTAAAGCTCCCAGGGGCTCCTCTCCTGCGGCCAGGCTGAGTCACTCTCCTCAGCCTGCACCCTTCACTCCCATCTCTGAGCCTCTCCTCTCCCCATCCACTTGTCCAGCTTTCACTCATCTCCTCCATGAGATCTTTCTTAATCATTCCAGTCAATAGTTATTGAGGCCTCTCTTCCCAAACTGAAAGCACTCACTGTTCCCACAGCAGGACATTTTAGCACTTAGATATGCAATGTTCTATATCTTAGGCACTTCCATCCTGGGGGACTTTCATGCAGTTCCTTGAAAATCCTTGAGGGCAGGAACCCAGATCTAGGTCTCTCTCTATTCCCTTCAGGCCCCGCACAGCACATGCGGAGGCCCTTGGTGGCCACTGCTGAACTGAAGGGATGTTGTGTGTGAGGAGCCCTGGCCTGGGTATTGGAGACATGAGGTCTTAGAAAAGCCTCATGTTCCAGATAAGAGGGTTAGATCCAATCTGGGTTTCAATTATTCACATAACACCATTGTGAAGCTTGTTTTACCTACTACTTATGCTGCCATCGACTTAATTTTTTTAAGTCAACTCCCCTCCTGTACTTCACTTTGAAAAGGAATTTTACATCACTGTCATCAATGGGAAACTGGTATCACTTGCCATAAATAGAAGATGACTTTAATAATAATTGTAATGAACACAAACAGAAAAGCCCCTGCCTCTGTACTCCTGAAATCACCTTGTTGTACACCATTGTGTGTTCCCCGTGCTTTGAGGCACAGAGCTGGGCCACCTCTGAGTTCTATTGGTTTCTGATACGGCTGGGCTGAGCGGGGGAGGGATGGGGTGCACACAGCTTCAGTTCACTTTACACATTTGCACTGTCCTTAACACCACCTTTGTTCCCTGTGGTTGGGTAATGATGTTGTGGGTCATTTGAAACCTTAAAATTTCTATCCTTTTCTTACAACCATTAATCAGAGATTCTCAAGTTGCCAGAATGAAACAGATAATATCTATATCCTCATTTTCTCCTGAGGAATGAGCAAACGGTAAATGACTTGCACAAGACGAATGGATTGACTTCCACACGGCAGATGGAGTGTCAGAAGTAGAACTGATGTCAGGCTTCAGAATCATGTGAATGACCTATTTCTTCTTGTGATGAATGTAGAGATTGACCAAGCTGCCCAGGCTCACAATAAGGACAGTGACAAGAGCTCAGCTCAGCTGGCTCCTGCCTCAGTGGTATCGGCTTCAACAAAATAGAACCAGTCACTCAGGAAATGTGGTTGTGGTTTACAAAAACCAACAACTTAACCTAGACGTCTATCGTTCTGCATTTCCCCAAACTGCTGCGAAGAGAAGTTGGGTAATACTGAATAAAACAGCGAATGCACAAATACTGGCAAGACATTTATTTGTAGGAGAGAGGGCTTAGATTTTGGAAAGGAAATGTATTACATTAAGCCACTTGGTCATTCACGTTTAGCCCATGGGGGAGGGCTTTGTTTTTGCCTCTCAGATTGAACTCACTGGCTTCTTCCTGTGTCCCCCAGGCTGGTACAACCGTCTGTACATCAACTTCACGTTGCGTCGCCACATCTTCTTCTTCTTGCTCCAAACTTATTTCCCTGCCACTCTGATGGTCATGCTGTCCTGGGTGTCCTTCTGGATCGACCGCAGAGCTGTGCCTGCCAGAGTGTCACTGGGTAAAGGCATTTGCTAAGGTGTGATGGGGGTGGTTATTTATTTATTTTTTCAACTGATCACTTTGTAAAGCAGAAGTTAAGACCATTACTCAGAGTTCTTAAGTGATGGGCTGTCAAGTCAAAGGAGCAGATCTCCTGTTTCTGGTCTTCACCATTCCCAGGCTGCCCTCTGTTTCCTGGGCTACATTATGAAAACCACAGGGACCTAAAATAGCAACAGCTCTGCTCAGATCATTTCAGAAAGATAGAGCCTATTGGAGGTGTAGACTTCCACCGCCGGCAGTATTAGAGCTCAGTACTTTGATCAATAAGATAATTCTACAAATGCCAAACACTTACTCTGTAAGTACAAACATGTTGTTTGGTGACCTTGTTTAGACAGACGGAGAGTTTGAGGAGGTGGGGCCCACATGACGTGATTTCGGGGACGGAGAGGGCTGTACTCCCTGGTAACCTGTGGTTTCAGTCCTTCCCAGACCCCGAATTCCAGAGTGGTTGTTTACAACTGATGATTATAAATTTGGACAAAATCAGGTTGGGCCCTGAGGAATGTGAGGGTTTGACCAGCAAGGCAGTGTGAAGAAGAAACTAGCATGATAGACTTCCAGGAATCCCCACAGTCTTCCCAGACTTAATCAGTGTGGGTTAGGTGAGGGAGAATGTTCATTCCCTGAGGTTTGGGAAGGTTCCTCTAGAAGCGTCCGCACTTGAGCAGGTCCTTTCTGAAGCACTGCTGACCTTGTCAGCCCCATCCCAGAGACCCAGTGTCCCAGGGGCTTAAAGTGAAAGGGGATAAGCAGCCAGTTGGCCAGGAGAACAGCCTGGCCGCTGGTGGAGCAGATCCTTGCACCTCTGCGAGGTGGAAACGTGTCCGGGGAATTTCTCGTTGGATTTAAGAGGTGGCGAATGTACACACGGTGACTTAGTGAAAGGTGGGGGCCGTTCTGCACCCTCGTCAGCGGCTGAACTAAAAGCTGGATGTTGCAGGTATCACCACGGTGCTGACCATGTCCACCATCATCACGGGCGTGAACGCCTCCATGCCCCGCGTCTCCTACATCAAGGCCGTGGACATCTACCTCTGGGTCAGCTTCGTGTTCGTGTTCCTCTCGGTGCTGGAGTACGCGGCCGTCAACTACCTGACCACCGTGCAGGAGCGGAAGGAGCGGAAGCTGCGGGAGAAGGCGAGCGAAGTTGCCTTCATTGCCTTGTCTGAGCCCATGAGGTTGAGAATGGGGGGAAGGGGTTGCATGTAGAAAAGGGAGATGTTTATGCAAAAGGAGGGTGATCCATTTTAGAATAGGTTCTAGCGTCTACCATAAAGGATCCCAGAAAGTAGGAAGTCTTTGGACAAAGACTAGGAACAGAAGACTTGGGTTCTTAAGCCTAACTCTGCCATTTATGCTGGGCCTCAGTTTTTCCATCTATAAAAAGGTGTAACAGCATCCTCACCCCACCTTCCTTTCAGGGTTGTTGTAAGGGTAACATAAAACAATGTATGCGAAAGTTTTGAAATTGTAGGGTTCTAGACACACAGAAGTATTACTATTATTCTTGAACATGTCTAGAGAAAATGCCTTCGTAGCCTATGGCCAGATAAGGCTAAAAAGCTCCTCTATTTATCAGTGTGCTGGCTCAGTGAAAATTCAGCACATAGGACCTTAGTCTTTAGTCATTGAAAACACTATACTATGTATACTTAATGCACTATGCTGTAGGAAACTACACTGTACTATGAGATAGAATGCGAATGGGGAATCAAAGGCAATGTGTATGGGCCTTTGACAAAGGATGGGAAAATCTATTCCACTCATATTCATACTCATTAATTACAGTAAGATAAAATGCCAACTTTGTACCAGTCATTGCACTAATCAAAATGAGTGTTTACCTAAAAGGTGTAGAGATCAGGGGCATGAAAACCTCACATTTATGCCCATCGAGGTGGCTGGTAGCTCCTTAGCACAAAGAAATATACATTTTAGGAAAAGAGGATGTGTTGCCTTTTCAAAAGGTCTTTCAATGCCCACATTAAACCTGTTAAAAATTTCTACACTGTCTGCAAGTACGCTAATTGTTTAAAAATTTATATTTCAAATCCTATTCAAACCTTTTTTACATTAGCATTTGAATATTTGTTCAAATTAATAATAATCTGTACATTGATGATTATTAAATGACAGTGGGTTATATGTAAAACCCAAAGTCATTTAATAATGATCAATTATAAGCACTTTTGATTATAGTCTGTTAGACTTTCCTATTTAGAGATGTTCAAAAAATAACAAAGCCTTCATCTGACAAATGTGGCCTCATGAATCATTAACCACAAATAACTTGTAGCTGGCAGTTCACTAACCTGTAACCATATGCTGGGGCTTGGTCTTTGCCAGTGATGATATGACACTGTCTGAAGAGAAACAGGGAAATCACACGTGGAAAGACAATTGGGCAGTAAATCCAGCTGCCTGTCTGTGTGGGAATGGACACTTGGGAGGATGACAGCTTGTACTATTTAAAGGCGAAGCGGTGCCGTTGCTGGAGGATGGGCAGTGGTGGGAAGACACAAAATCTCTCTCCTGCTGCCTCACAGAGAAACCACTATTCACCACCGTGAAAAGGCCCCTCAGTGGAGTTGAGGTTCCCAAAGTGGGGCCAAGGAGCACCTGGCCTGGATTCACTTTCTGAGTCTGTAAAAAAGAAGATTCTGGGGCTGCACCCCAGACCTACTGAGTCAGGATCTCTGGGGTTGGCATCCGGGAATCTGCATTCTTAATAAGCTCCCAGGTAATTCTGATGTTCCCCGAAGTTCAACCTCCACTCCGCCAAAGGCAGCGCTGACTGGAGCCTGCGAGGCTCACCCTGCTTCAAATGGGGCCCACGCTGCTTGGGCTGAAGGGGTCGGACTCCCTTGCACACACTTGAATGCTTGGGCTGATTACCCAGGCCTGTTCAACATGCCAGGAGCTGCTTAATTTTTCTTAGAAACAAGGTGTTGTGGAAAATTGTCATAGTCTTTGACATTTCCCGATTCTCACTCAAAATGTTAGGAGAAAAATCTGTTTTTATTTTAGCAGAATGCATTTCGATTTAGAACAAGGGAAAGAAGTAAAGACCTGTGCCTTTAACAACAACAACAAAAGGCTCCAGTGACAATATCTCACACTTTTATCAAAGTTTGGGTGTGATTATATCTAAATGCAAAGAATGGAATAGATGACCTCTTACTGACCTTTTATTCCTAAAGTTTATGGGTTAGTCTATTCTAGGAATGTATTAATGTGCTACCTAATTGTTGTGGCTTATGGGACAAGACAGGAAAATAATAATGAAACAATGGCGCCTGATTTAAAAAATAGCCTCCCAAACTACAAAAGATTTCTTCAAGTGTAAGCATACATCAAGTAATTCTAATTTTCCATAAAAATCATCCATCTGTTTTTGCATCTTTTTCTGGTACCCGTTTGAGTATTTCAAGATTCATAACAATAGAAGTCAGGTGTGAAACGTCATTATTTCACATTCCCAAGTGGAAAAACAGCCACTGCAGGGCTGAGAGCCAGATTAGAAACATATGAACATCAACAGGTTGGGAAGAATAAACGGTGGGACCAGTTGGCTGTATCAGGCAGGCTTCATGCCTTTGGCCAGAACCAACCAGTGCAGCGCCAGCTGGAAGCCCTCCCTTTGCTGACTCAGATTGTGGGAGAAGTTAAGCAAAGCCATTTCCTTCCCTTCAACTTATAATTTATAGACATTTTCATACTTGTAGAAACAGTTTAACAGAATAGGATAATATAACATCCATGCAACATTGTTAACATTTTGCCCTCTTTGTGTGATCTCTTTCTCTATATAAACATAGTTTTGTTGGTGTAGTCGAACCATTTAAAAATACACTGCAGGCATCATGACTCTTATCCCTTACATGTAACTCTTCAGAGTAAGGACACTCTCCTCCCTAATCATTTTTTAACCCCTGCACAAAGATGTAGAGTCCCACACTGCAATAAAGTCCTGGGTTTAAAGTCCTGACTCTGACACCGGCTGCTTGATCTCAGGAGAATTGTATAGTTTCTTTGGGTCTTAGTTTTTGCCTCTGCAATTGAGGACATTTGGACTAAGTCAGTGGTTCTAGAGTAGACCCTGGCTACATAGTAAAATCACCTGGGGGCTTTAAATTGGTCTAGAATGGATTGTGCATGTGGCCATTTTAAGAGTTACCCAGATGACTTTAACATGCAGCCAGGGTAGAGAATCCTTGGGCTAAGTCAGTGGTTCTCAACCTTGGCTGCACATTAGAATCACCTGGGGCCAGAAATCAGGATTTTTAAAAAGTTCCCAGGTGATTCTAATGTGCAGCCAAGGTTGAGAACCACTGGGCTAAGTAATGTGTGGGGATCCTTCTGGCTGTGCTTTTTGTGGTTCTGAGTAGTTAGTCATGGGCACTTCCTCTGCCCCTCTCCCAAGGCCTAGCCATGCCTGACACGTCCCTTGTGTTTGCTGCCCACAGTTCCCATGTGTGTGTGGAATGCTTCCCTCAAGAACCATGATGCTGGATGGAAGCTACAGTGAGTCTGAGGCCAACAGCTTGGCTGGGTACCCGAGAAGCCACATTCTGACAGAAGAAGAGAGGCAAGACAAAATAGTGGTCCACTTGGCCCTGAGCAATGAATCCAATTCCTCCAGGAAGAAGGGGCTTCTGAAGGGCCAGATGGGTCTTCGCATCTTCCAGAACACCCACGCCATTGACAAATACTCCAGGTTGATATTCCCTGCCTCCTACATATTTTTCAACCTAATTTATTGGTCAGTGTTTTCCTAGGGGCTCCAAGGCTGTGCCTGGGAAAGGGCCTAGACATCTATGGGGCCTGACCAGCCATCTACATGGATCTGCTGACCACATTACCTTCAGCAAACAGAGCAGAAGCCCCTGAACTCCCATGAGCAGCACCCCCTTCTGGAGGAGCCCAGAAGCCCTCCAGCTGCCCTTCCCAACCTCATGGATTTGCCCCTCATTCATGCTGTGCTGTGTCCCACATCATGTCTCTCGGTTCTTGTGTGTGAACAGGTTATGAGAGCCCCCTCCTATAAAAAAGGACTCAAATGCCTTCCAGATGCTCTGAGACCCCCTATGAAGCCTGGGATTCAGTTGTGAAGGCAAAGGGGAAAATGAAGGGTAGGCCTAGGATCCGGCCCATTTGAAATGAATAAAACTAAAAAAAAAAAAAAGACCGTACCCTTTTATGTAATGATGTTTACTTTGAATTTATATTAGTTCACACAAACACTCCATCCATACTTTTGTTCCGGCCCTCCGGTCCAGTTTAAGAACCCATTGTGGCCCTCGAGTCAAAAAGTTTGCCCACCCCTGGCTTAGGGGCATTCTGGATAGGAAATGGGAAATTAGGATTCAAAATAGGAACAAAACATCTTTAAACCCATACAACCGGATTAAGTGCCTCCCTGAGAAAGAAAATAAACTCAAATCCCAGACAAGAAATAAGTTGACCTGTGTGAGTCTGGCAACTGACATGATTTTGCAATATTAGGGGACATTACTCATTCACCCATCCATTCAACCATTTATTAAATCTTGAATGCCACATGCTGTGGAAATGAACAACTAGTGGTTCTCAACCTTCTGGCCCTTTAAATACAGTTCCTCATGTTGTGACCCAACCATACAATTATTTTCGTTGCTACTTCATAACTGTAATGTTGCTACTGTTATGAATCATAATGTAAATATCTGATATGCAGGATGGTCTTAGGCGAACCCTGTGAAAGGGTCGTTTGACCGCCAAAGGGGTCGCGACCCACAGGTTGAGAACCGCTGAACCAGAAGTTCTCTTTTCCCGGGAAACTCTAAGCCTGTGCTCATTGTACATCTGGCAGAAAGTACTCTGCTCTTCTCCCACCCTCTACCCGCCAGTTACTGCACAGACCCATTCTGTTTGCTGGTGCTTTTCCTGCTAGGTCTGTCTAGAAAAGCATTTCCTGTCTCCCATGAGGCCCTTATGAAGCCAACGCAATGCTTCTCTCCCGGAATTTCCATGCAGGAGAAGCCTAGCACTGGGGAGAGGGACAGGGACTGGAGAATTCGTGACAGCAAAACTTGGTCTGGGGGCGGAAGGAGGCATGGGTCTGCTGCAGAAATTCATTTCAGGTG